AAGTAAGTATTAGTACTGGGCCTTGGGGGCAACAGCCGGGCTAGCGCATAGTTCGTACTTACTGCTAGCACCAGGCGCATGTCGTAACACACGTGTGACGGCATTTTACGATGACCGTAAAGCCGCACATGAAAGCTTATGTGGTAACTCCTTACTTTAAGTCAAAGTAAACCCTATACCGGTCGATTTCAAATTCAGCATTATCAGCAATACCCGCGCACGCGTGGTTAGCCTATAGGGCCGCTTTTCTGTCATCCGTCCGTGCCTATGATATGCATAAATGCCAGCACGACAGTACTTGTGGCCTATTATTCTTTCTTCTTTCTAAAATCATCATGCTGCATTCCTGTTAGTCCAATTACATTTGCTAGCTTAATTTATCTGCCATTTTGAAATTATTCTGTTCCGTGCCCACTCATTTAGAGCCTCTGAAAGCCTGATTTTGGTTCAAAGCAGAACAAAGTGGTCATCTGTCGTTTCCCCCCACCTCAAGCATGCCTACTGGAGACAGATTCTACGATGATGCGCTGGCCATAGTATCCGTCTGGGAGGGTTTCCTCCTGCGACTGGAGTTACTGCTGATCTGGAAACAACCCGTCTTCAGTTTACTCTTTGCTCTGTTTGTGCACACGACCTTCTGGTAGGTTGTTTTGTTTCTCTTCCAGCTTCTATCCCAACAGGTGCGTGTATCTATTCAATCTCAACAGAATCTTCGTCGTAACCCTGCTCCTCTGCACCCTGGTAATTGCCGATCTGGGAAAAAATCGCTTCTGGCCGCTGCTTGAAGGTGAGTCCGGGTTCCCTCCCCCCCAACCAACTTCTCTTAGATCTCATTTCCAGAATCAGTGGGGTAAACTTTGCAAGAGAAATTCAAGTGGCCGTCGCTAAGGGAGAAATTTGGTCAAAGGAGCAGTTAGCCTCAAGATGTGCTTGGATGTTCCATCTCTGCGTTTCGGCCCTTAATACTATCGTTCCAAAGCGCAGCTCGCATCCCTTCATTGTGAGTCTGCTATTTTTTCTCTCTATGATCGCTGTCTTGCATTCCTCATCCCCTGCCACTGTGTGTTTTTTATCTGTTTGTTTTTTTTCTCCTGTCCACATGCAGTTCCTCCTGGTTTCCCTATGTCTCGGTGCCTCTTTTATCTGGCTGGGATCTCTGATTAATGAGGCCCAAGTCACATACCTCCTACTGAACCTTATTCTTGCCTACCCCGGTCTCCACTACTACGCCGTATTTAGCCTGATCTGGCACTACCTGAAGCCCTTCTTTGACCGGCTTGAGGCTGAATTTGACCGGGGTCAGATTGAATCACCTTCTGAGCGCGATCGGGAGGAGCGTACATTCTGGGAGCCCATTGTCAATTCACCGGACTTTAAGGACAGAGCAAATAAGGCCTTTCCTAGCGAGCACCAGTCTCGGAGGCCAGCGCGCTTACCTTCACAGCCATCTGACGATTGGAGCGATTCTTCCCTAGAGG